AACCTCAGGACTTGTTCATACACCCCCCTTTGGTTTTTATTTTTTTTATTTTTATTTTTAAAGTCAAAATTAAAAAGATAAAACAAAGGCTTTTCTTACAAGGTCCAAGCCCACAACCTTTGACCTAATTTCAAGCTTTATATATCTCATCATTTAGACATAACAACACACGAGATCCCTTGAAAAAAACATCTCTAAAAAATTCCAAAAATATCAAAGAACTAGGGCAACTTGCAAACCCTAATTACAGCCACTCTCAAGGCAAATCAACCTTGCCATTCACTTCCAGAAGCACTGTAGGGTAAGTAGGGATCAATTGTGATGATCCAAGAGGCCTGAAATGCATGAACACGCATCGCCGGCTTTACATTATTCCATGAAATTGCATTTTTATTTTTCTTTACATTTTAATACATACTAACCCTGCTAACTTGTTTCTGAGGTACCAATATGCAGGAAGAACCCATCGTGGGAGTCCCATGATGGCTGAATCATGAAATACCATATTCTTATCGTTCCATGATATTTTTGACATATCTCACAATCCAACGTGTTTTAGCCCAAACCAACTTTCCATTGAACTCGTAGGGCTTGATTTAGGAGGGTAGGGTCCCTTTGGATCGTTAACAATTGTTTTTTTTTTTTGCAGGTTGGAAAAAAGGCTCACCGGAGAAGACGATCGGAGCTAGGGCTCTGGCGCTTCTCCGGTCTAGTGATTTGGGTTTATTATATGTTTAATTTGTTTCACCAATAATACCGAACATGTAGTCACCCCAGTGGCAAGGCAGCGCGCGTTAAGGCATTACCCTACAAAGGTGTGGGTTTGATCCCTGCCTTTTATGTTTTTCATATTTTTTCCTGATTTTTGCAGATCTTATGCAGCGCACCTTTATATGTCAAACATGCACCCTCAGCTTCACAGCCCTCAGATCCAAATCCAACGCTTCCAGATCTGCGTGCCTATGATGCACCCTCCTGGCTGCTTGCACTAGATCAAGCAGACCTCACTCTCTTGGGCCTAACAGATTTCGTTGCACACCCCCTTTTTGCTAATTCTGGCCCATTTCTTTTTTTTCCTTATATTTTCTTTTATTTTACTTATTTATTTTTTACTATTTAATTAAAATACCAAAATATTAACTTTAGGTTAAAATTAATTAGGTTTAGTTTTAATTACCTTTTTTTAATTAATTAATTTAACTAATTAACTTTCTTAATTAAAATTAACTAGATTCTTAGGGTTTTTAATTAAATTAATTGATTTTTTAATTAAAATTATTTAGGATTTTAAGTCTATTTAATTAATTAATCACAAATCATCTTTTTCATAAAAAGTTATCAAAAAATCTTTTCTTTTCTATTTTCACATTTTTAGATTGACTGTATGCGTAATAGCTAGCTTTATTTTCCGCTTTCTTTTCCATTATTATGTAATTGCTTCAGAATGTAATAGTTAGATTTACTTTCCGCACTTTTTTGTTATGTAACTGCCCCAAGGCCATGTAATAGAATAGAAGTTTTTATTTTCCGCACTTTACTTTTCCTGCTATTATTTTACTATATTTTTGTTAGTAATTAGGGTTTGTATGAAAAGAGTAAATCGAATCGATAGAAAACCATTAACTCAAAAACTAAAATAACTGAAAACGACACACTTGCACACTCACACCTCTAGGGTAACCTCCCTTGTTACCTTCAGAAAATAAACAGTCATGTCCCTCGAACGTGGGGACGCCTTAGCAAAGACCTTCGATCAAGTCATCATACAAAAAGATCATAGTCCCTCGATGACCCTTTCGATATAGCCTTTCGGTAAATGATCTAGTCCCTCGAGTTGCCTACGAATAAAATGATGACTGTCCCTTACGAAAAGTGCTAACGTGTCCTTACTAGTTGCCTTCGATGATCATATGATGACCCTTCGCTTGTCCCTTCACATCCAATAGATAGGGCTACTTATTAACTAATGATACGAATAACACTATCTATAAAGGAGAAGGAAAAGTACAAGAACAACCTTGAGTGGGTATGATGCGCTTAATTACTTGCTCACAAACCTTTTTCAAAATATTTCTCATATCACATTTTCAAATAAAATATTTTCAAACACTTTGTATACATTCTTGAGGACTGATATAAGAATTATTACAAAGTCAGTCTTACATTGGCATTTCAAAATATTTTCAAACAAATCACACACAAAGAAAGTTTTCAAAAGTGAGCTAAGTAATTAAGAGTTTGTAGATAACTACGGGTGAAAAGGATGCTAACACCTTCCCTTTTCATATCTTACCCCCCCTCCCGAACTCAAAATCTATCAAGGTCTTTCCTGTTCTTTTCACTCTTTCCTAAATATTGGATAAAAGAAAAGTCGGTGGTGACTTTAACTATTCGCACATTTGGATAAAACCAAAAAGTTAGTTCTCCCACCATATTACACTCTACTTTGAGCAGCATATGCAATTGCTACCGGTTCAAAATTTACAACATCATGAGACATGGTTCCTTGAGAAAGAAAACGTTGTTCCTCCCTAAGAAGTTCACCAACACAAGTATCCAAAGAAGAAACAGGATTCCTATTTAGCAAAGCACATCTGACAACCTCAAATTCTGGACAAAGTTTCATGAGAAACTGGTCTCACCCACTTGTGTTGTAGACCTCTTGAGCAACCGCGAGAGAGGTCTTGAAAATATTAGCATGTATAATAGCAGAGTATTATGTCCAGAGATTCAAAAAACTAGAATAGTATTCTTGAATAGACAAATCACCTTGTTTGTAGTTGGCTATGTGTAGCTCCAACTGAAAATGTTTTGTAGAATTGTCCCGGTTGTAAATGCGCTTCAGATAATTCCACATTTCTTGAGCAGTTGAAAAAGAGCGCAAATTATTGATCATCTGAGGATCAATACTACTGAGAATCCAGGTGATGATTTGAGCATCTTTAGTTTCCCACGCATCTAAAGCAGTTTTCTCCATCGGTGCCTTAGAGACATCATCTAAGTGCCTCCTAATCTCTTCCCTTTAACATACATCTTGAACTGAAATTTCCATGTAGAATAATTCTTGACGGTAAAGCGAACACAAAAACATCTCTTTCCTTTTCGAAAGCCATCAGAAATATTTGCTACTAGAAACAACCTCTCTAAATATATTATTATAATTATTATTATTATAATAATGATTAATTATTATAATAATGAAACCAAAGTAATGAAATCAAGAAACAACAAACCACGTACGATAAACCTTGTAATAAAAAAATATCCCACTGAATTAGAAACGACAAACCCACTGATCAGGAACAAAGAACAAAAGCCAACACTGAAAAACACGAGCGCGGCAGAACAAAAAACAAAATCCCGTATTAAGAAACACGAGCAGCAGAACATTCAAGAAACACGGGCAGCAGAATCAAGAAATCAAGAATAAAATGATCCAGAATCACGATTAGTGAAAGGACAACAAAGGAAAACGCAACCCTAAATCTAAAAGATAATTACGACGATAATTATATGAATTTGCACGAAACAAGTTCTACAGTGATCGATCAGAATCCGATGAACAACAAAAGTCGAGCGACCAAAATGTTGTCGCAGGCAGAGATTATGTGGATTTATGCAGAATTTGGAAAACCCACAGCTTTGCTGCTGAGTCTTGTCTCAATGCTGCGCCATTTGGATCTCCATGACAACGCGGATCAGATTCAAAATGCCATCCTCAACACTCTTGCAGAAGGGAAGTACCGAACTGCCGATCCTAGGCAGGAGTAGCTAGGGGGGTTTGGTGTTCAAGTATTTTGTTACAGGGCTGGTAATCATAACCATACTGTAAAACTTTGTAAAACTTTCTATTGATTTAAACTAAGCAGAAAGTTTTGTTTAAGGTATAACATCACACGTAGTAAAAGTCAGCCTAAAACATGCAATATACTATTTTTTTCTTTTTGACTAAAACATGTAATATACTTTACACTGATGAGTATTTTAAATAAACAAAAAAAAAACTTTTTTAAACAAATTTTAAATATAAAATTAGAATTTTATGTGACATTCAAATTTGACAGATGAATTAACGTGACAACATGGTAACTTATATATACACTATAATTAGTTTAAGATGTACACGTGCATCTTTTTCGTATGATATATTTTCCTTTGACTTTTATCTAAGATATTTTTCATAACATTCTTTTCAAATTGATATGTTACATATTTTTTTCAATGTCAGTTTATAATAATAATTATTATTATAATTATACATCAACAATCAACAATAATAAGTTATTTGAAAATATAAAATTTTATAATGTTGTTTAAGAAAATAATGAGACTAATATTTATAAATTTTATTAACTTTTGTAAATTTTATCATTCGAATTCACTATTTTCACGGTTCATTGTTATTATAATATATTTTTATTTATTTTAATCAATAAAATATTTATAAATATTTATAGTTATTAGTGATATTTGTGAATACATATATTTATTAGACATATTAGATTTATCAGGTTGATGATTTGCTACATATTTATTTTTAAATATTTTTAATTATTAGTGATTTTATAATAACAATTATATAGATCAGCAACAATTCAGTCTTATCAAATAATCTAAGATAGAAATGAATTTAACCATACGGACACACGGATTTTTTATTACTTAAATAACACTTAAAATTTTACATTATATGTCTTGTATTTTTGTGAGTATACAATATCACTATTAAATTATAAAAAGGATAATATTTTGATCGACTCTATAGTAATAAAAAATATATAAAATAAATATTAGTTAAGTTCGATTAGATTCAGTTTTCGACAGATCTAAAATAATCATTTCCCGACCGAAACAACCATATACTAGCCAAATTAAATAATCGGATCAACCTAACACCCGACCTGATCCATTTATATTAAAAAATAATAGGTCGGTCGGTTTCGATTCGGGTGGTTCAAATTTGTCCACCTCAAACTTCTAGAGTCAGGATTTTTTTTGTCATGAGCTTAATAACAACACAAGCATATTTTTTTATAGCTGATGAACATTTTCCTTTAATGAACTGTCTCGTAGACATCGGTTACCCTGAATTTCAAGTTCCACCTCTACCATCAAGATTACAATTTATTATCTTTGGTTATGTATGCTTGCTTGTGTTGCATACATCAGTTTCAATTCCAAGGAGTGGTGGGGTTTTTCTTTTGGCAGCAATTTCGACCGGGTTTGGTTCGTGGTTACGGACCTGTTGCATTTATAGTTTAGCTTGTTGTTGTACTTGTTGCATTTATTTTTCATATTTCATATGGATGGAATGGGGTCTGGTGTGAGGGTTAAGTTTGTGTTACTGCAATTTCTTTCAGCGTCTGTAGTATATCGCAATGCTAGCTGTTGTTGAAACTTTTTACCGGTCTCTTCTCTTTAATTTTAATCTTTGTCCAAATCTCATTTTCTTCATCCACCATGTGTGTTGAATCCCTTCCTTAGGTGCTCTTTTTCAACTGTCTTTGGTTTGTAACCACGTTTGGTGTTACAGACTCTCGTGCGCTGAGCTGCCTTTTGGTTTTGCTCTGTTTTTACCTGGTGTCTTGATTTCCCCTCCCCTGAATCTGACAACAAACCCATTTGTCTTAAGTTCAATCATAATAAGAATTTCAAACCTAATAGAAACCAGAAATTCAAACACTTCAGATTTGAGAACATCTGAAAGGAAACCCCAAACTTTAAGGAATCTGTTAGCCATTACGGGCAAACTCCTTTGGTACCCCCACAAACTTCACACAACCCTTAGAAACTTTCGGGATTGGGACAAAACCACCCCTGACTCTATTCAAAACAATGTCAACAAGCTTCATAAACCTTATACAAAGCATTCTGCAAGAGCTCTCTTTATGTTTGAAGAAATAAGAGATTTGTTGGGCCCAAAGAGCCAAAAATCATTGGCTCGATGAGAGTGAAAAAAATACCAAGTATTTCCACCCAATAGCCAACCATAGGAAGAAAAAAATTGAGTTCATCTATAATGCTAATGGGAAAGTCAACTACAAAGAGGATGGTGTAGTCTGCAGAAATCAGTACTTGTGAAACCATACACTGCCATATGAAGAAAAATGTCTCAATTTTGATTGGTTAACTTTGTTAATGAGGGATATGCTTAAATTAGAATCTCTACCTCAAGAATGTAACATCTGTAAGAAGCTACATGTAATGGTGTATTGCCATGTGAATCAATAGAGTTGATGATATCAGGTGATAAGACAATAAGATTTCTTACCACTTGCATCAATAAAATAAATAGAAAATAATCCACACACTGTGTAAAAACAAAACCAACATTTCAGATTGAATTCATATCAAATCAGTGTAAATTACAGACACAAATACGGATAGACGGATGTTCTAAGTATTTGTATTCGCATGTTTATTTGATGGAACACGTTTATGTTTTAATATGTTAATTTAAAAAAATTCAAGTCCCATATTGTTATAATATCTTTTTGATTGAAAAAATCATTTAGTCTCAAATTGCTCGTGTGAGAAATATTAATTAACTTACTTCACTATACAAGAAGTGCACATATTATATTCCAAATTACACAGTGCACCTATTAGATTCCAAATTACATCAAAAACTATTCTATTAGTTTTCCTTCCTCACTCTCGTAACTCTGCGTCTCTTGAATTGTTGAAGCGTCATCTTCTTCTCCTTTCTTTTTATTCGTTAAATTTTTCGAGTATTTTCTTGAATTCTCTTTAGAGAATTATATTAATTTCTCCTCATTTCAGTTGAGAAATTTTCGAGTGTTAATTTTTTGGATTCTCTTTTGAGAATTATTTGAATTTCTCATTGTTAGAGAAATTATTATGAGTGGTCAAATGATCATTATTAAATTGATTGGTATTGATACCATATTTGAATAGTCACGAACCATCGGATTGTGCATCTCTAGACCGATTATCTTATGCAAATAGTAATCGTACAGTATAGAAATTTGTTGTTTTATCCTGGAGACGACGCAGTAGATCGACTGCTCTGCATAATTTTGAACAGTGTCGCGAAACGTCTTAAAAAGAGCGACCTAGTCCGCGACTCAACTTGGAAATTTCTTCGATAGCAAATGTTTCAAAATCTGAAAAACAACAATTTTAAGACCTTTCAAACTGCCATGACTATCGAAGAAATTATTGATACTTTTGTAGAAATCATTTTTGAGAAATCATTCACGTTTGAGGGAAGTTACTTCAAACGTTGACAACAAAAGATGAAGTTCTTAACGTTGAAAAAAAAATGTTAATGTTCTGATCGATGACATTCTATTGCCCCTTCTAGATCAATCGAAAACATGAAAACAAATAATAAATCAAATAAAATAGAAAAATAAGAAATTTAGAATGGGGTCATCTATTTTATTCTAAAATAAAAGATTTTAATCTCTGATTTTTTCCATTAAAATTTTAATTTAAGTATCGAGGTTGAAGAAGCAAAGGCAATATTAAGATTGGTTCCAATTTGGGCTACAACTTAAGTTTATTGTATTGTCTTTGCTAAGTAAGGGAAATTTATGGAGAGGACAATATTTCCTGGTTTCGACATACCCCCCGCTTCACTTCAAACGATTAACAGTCTAGCTGTTGTTCTCTTCAGTCCTATCTATGATCACAGGAAAACCACCAGACATCACAATGCTTCAAAGGATCGGAATAGCACAAGAGTATGGTCTTGTTGATTATCCAAATGCAACTGTTCCAATGAGTATATGGTTGTCAGTTGATGAATCTTTCAGTTAATGCATAAATATAAGTTTATTGCAAATATGAAATGCAATAAATATTCTTACTTGGTTGGCCATCGTGAGAATAACATCAGGAGGTCCTTTCTTCAACATATTTTCATTTCATGACATTCAAAAAATTTCACCCCAAACATGACAGCACCTTGTTCACTAGTGTGCATGTTCATGTTCATTTCTATGCTGGCAAGGGCATCCTTAAATGCTTAGGAAGTTGCAGGTGTGTGAGTTTGCTTTTTTTTTTCAGTTGTTCTATGTCATTTTCAGATGATCTTTGAAGACAGTGTCCGCAACATTCAAGCTGGAAAACGTTTTGGACTTATACAGCTGGTAAATCATTGGAAATTTTTGGTTTGTCGTAGAAACTAAAAACAGACTTTGATTCTAGTAACCAATGTTGTCAATCATTGGAAAAGTTCTGCTATAGTGCCACTAGGGATAGTAATCTATTCAGATGATAGGCCTGTACATCAAAAAAAAATCAAGGTGCAGATTATTAGAGTATCCATAACCTTGCTGAAGCAGTGCCTAACCTATGGGAGGTTGACGTAAAATCAGAAGCGGTTTACACCGAGAACCTTGCTAAGGAGACAAAAGTAACTGCTTAACCATGGAAGAAGATGTATGCTGCTTATCTTGAAAATGATGATATGGAAATTAAATTTTTAAGAATTAGCCAAAGAGTTTGATGGAAAACAAACAAGATAAATTGCAGATCTGGGTGGATTCGAACCACCACATCTCAGAGATTTATACACAAAATACTCAGAGCGCTCTACCAATTTTGGGCTACAGATCTTTCGTGTAACTAAGATAATAAATGTAACAAGAGTAATTTAAAATAACAACAAGAACAAAACAATAATTATTGGCACTACTAAATATTGAACAACAAATTAAAAATCAATCAATCTACAGACCATTTCATATAAAAGCACTGCACAGAATATATAACAACAAATTAACCAAAGGATATATTACAAATATCTATAACCAATAGAATATTGAAACTGCATACTATTTCATATATAATCAATTGCTACAGAGTTTTCATATAAAATCACTGCAGAGTATATTGAAAGAATATATTTCAAATATCTATAACCAATAATGTTTATCAAATAATATATTTAACATTAAATGAAATTCATTTTACAAACATTGGTTTGAAATAATGGCATCCCCAGTTGTACAACATTTTACCTGCGTTGAACAGAACACACTGTTGGCACTCGCTCAAAATGGTTGAATACGTCTTGCGCGATAGTTTACGTTTCTCATTCTGTTAGTGTGAAACTGCAAATATCATTATGTTATAAACAGTATTCTATTGCCAAATATTTCAAAAAATTATTCCAAAGACAATACATTTCTTACCAGAATGTATTCAAAAGTTAAAACTTGAAAATTTGTAAAAACATTCACAAAAATTTGTTAAAAGAAGAATTTTAAATTTATCATAAAATTTTAAATTTAATATATATATATATATATATAAAAAATTAAAATTCTACAAAACCCATCTTAGCTGTTTATTAAAAAGAAGAAATATAATGTTTTCATGATTCAGTAAAAGTAAAATAAATTTAAAAAATTAAAATATTAATAAAATAAGTTTTTTAACTAAATTTTCTCAATAACCGTGTTTTCTCATAATTTACTCAAAAATCATGAGATCTACCTTAAACTTTTACACTTTTTGTGTTATCTCATTTGATGACTAACAAAACCTAAATATTTGTATAAATTATGGGGAAAAAACATGGATGTTGATGGAATTTAATTTTAAAACTGTTACTTTTGAAAAAATTTCTCAAAACTAAGTTGTGAGATGAAAATGATAAAAAAAATCTTATAAATTTCTTAATTTTCAAATGTATTAGAAAAAAAAGATTTCCTCAAATTGGAGAAAAACTTATAAAAATGATCTTCAATTACAAAAGAAATCATAATTATTTCAAGAATAAAAAAATTCAATGGTAAAGGTTAAAGTTAAAGACACTATTTTTTTACAGCGTTAAAGACACCATTTAAGAGAGTATAAAAGTAAATATTTAAAGAATTAAAAGATAAATATTTTTATAAATGTATTTATTTAATGCATTGAAAATTAAAATGTTTTTTTAATGATTTTAAAATTAGAATCGATGTACATAAATAACAGTACGAGACACAATCATAAAATAATGCCCCTTCCTGAATTACTATGGAGTATTATAGGAATATAGCAAATTAAATATAAAAAACAAATATATTTAAATCTGCTACTGATGTTACGTGAATCATAACTAAATCAAAGAGTAAATATGAATTACGGATTGAATAAATAAAATAAAATAATGAAAACAGATAACATTTATTCTACTAACATAAAAATTGGCGACAGAATAAAATATAACGACGAACATGCATAGCTACGGAAACTGGAAAGACAATCATTTTTATTGCTACGAAAAAAAATTAGAACTGTAGCCATCTTCACCTTACTGATAGTCATGCAATGTACAAAAGAATTGTTCAGGGATCTACCGCCTTCCACTTCGAGTAAGAATTTGTTGATGCTGAAAATTCACATGAGGCATGAAACTTTTTACTGCATTCTCTCCAAAATTGATAACGCTTTAATTTAACACTTTAACTTTCTTCGTTTGAAAGAAGCCATAGATCCACTTACAAATGCTGAAGGCGAATCTGTAACTAAAAAATGATTTACAGCAAATATACAAACCATGAAGTAGAAATACGATGTGTGCATAATGGGCGATGAAACAAGATTGATCTGGTGCAATGACACGGTTAGGTATTTGAGAGAAAATTAGCAAGATAAACCTTGACTTTGTTGGTTTTTCACGATGAATCATACTGTACAGAAGAATTTATTTATTGATGTTTACAGCGGTAAGAATTGTGTCCAATAGATTCTGATATTCACACGATATTTCAATGATTGAAAAAGTAGTGTGGAAGTGGAATAAATTAGATCAAACCTACGTAATTGATTAACACGCCTTTCCAAATTCATTTTACCTGTTAATTTAAATATATAGAAATTGGTATCAAAAAGGGTTTCGACTGAAATTTGGATAATACCTCGATGTGTAGTTCGTTATGGAGCGTGAGAAATCCTTGTATGAATCCATGCCGAGCAGACTCGTATTACGAAATATCAACCAAATCGAAACAATAGAAATAAGGAAAAGTAGAAAATCAGACACCACACGAGAGAAGACCCCGGGCAAAAACCCCGTGCGATCTCTCTCAAAAACCAACAAAATCTTTTTTTATTATTTTTTTTGACCCGCCAAGCAAGCGCACCTGACATGGCAAAGGCCGGATGACAAGATCAATCAGGATTCAATCCTCAATTCGTTTACCGAATTGAGATATATAATCCTGAAACAACCTACATACATCCATTAAATTTCCTCGCGAAACTCACAATCAAACACATAATTACAAATTACAAGATCCAAGATCTGCTGCATGCACGAATCTGAAAGACTTCGATCTTGAACCATGGCCGATAGCAGCTTCTAGATATTCATCGCTGGATCTACAACTTTCTCATCGATCTACCGGCAAACCTGCAAACAAACTATCTCGAGATCCTTGATTTAGGATCTTTCCATGAATTGATAGCAAACACCGGGAAAACGTGAATATTGCACCTCTGCACAGTAGATCTTACGGAAAAAGAACCAGATCTATAACAAAAGAACATAACAGAATAAATAACAAACAAGTAACGATAAAAAAAGCCTAGGGTAACAATAAAAATGATAGAAAGCGGTTTATACCTTATCGAAACCACCGGCGGCGAGAAAATCTCCATCAGATTTTAACAGATCTGGTGTCGATCGAACGGAGAAGTTACGAATGAGGTCTGGAAATGAATAATGAATAGAAGAGGGACGAACGAAAGCTGAAACCCTATAAAAATTAGGTATTCAACCCTAATACTTTATAGAGAATTTTTTGTGGAATGGACGGCTGAGATTACTTGGGTTAGCGTGTAGATTTAATTGTGACGCGTTACGTTAGGTGCGACATATTTAAGGGAAAGAGAAATACGGCATGGAGTAACAAAGAAGGTCATTTTTGACAAATCGTGTTGTCATGGCGGTTGGGTGTGTAGCACTACAATTACGTCATCCGTGTGCTGTCATTCAGAAGGTTCGTTTGTTTTATTTTTTAAAAAAAAAAATTTATAAAAATTTAATTGAAATTTGCGAGGGTATAAAGAATTTTTACCTGGTTAATTAATTATAATTGTTGATAAATTTAAAATATTTTATTTTATTTTAATTTTTTAAAGTAATACAATTGATTGGTTAAGATTATTGATGGTGTAAACTTTTTTTATATTGAGAGTGTATAAAAATTAAACTTTTTTTATAATATTATATATTTTTATTAAAAAATTACAAATATTTTTTTTAAATTAAGTAATTGTTTTAACTCATTTTTAAATTTGAAAAAAAATATATTTAAAATATGAAAGTATTTTAAATAACATAAAAATTGTTTATGAGATACTTTTTAAAAGGTTAAATATTTGGTCATTTAACTTAATTTAAAGTTTAACTTTAGTCTCTTATTTAATAAATGTTCGTTTTAAATCCTTTATAAGAAAAGAGATGATGCATTGAATGTATAAATTAATTTTATACTGTCAACCAATCACAATTTTGTATCAGTATAAATCACATTTTAATTTTAAAATTCTTTTGATGACAAGATACATTGTTGACTTTCTAATAGATAATAGTGTAAAATTATTTTACACTGTCAGTGCATATAAATTAAAAACATCCCTTATATATCATTATGTTAATCACATTGGTATTATCTGTTAAATTTTATTAAATTCTTTAAGTTGCGAATGTGTGGCACTTTATCTAGTACTCCCTTCATCTCATATTATTTATCATAGTTGATTATTTATTAAGAAGTAATAATAAATGAAGAAAGATAATAGTGACTTTATCGAATTATCTTGATAAATTATTGGTGTATTCAAAGTAGTATTAATGTTTAGTGAAAAAACAATAAATTAAAAGTGTTTATTAGAAGATACAATTGGAAAATTGAATATAAAATTACATTCATAATCTAAAGTGACAAGTATTTTCGGATAAATTTTTTTTAAAATGTGACAGTTATTTTGAAACGGGGAGTACTAAATTAGATGACATAAAACTGTTTTATTTTATATTGATTTTCATGTTTTATTTTCATTTTCAGTATAAATTTTAAAAATAAAAAGAGGTTGGAATGTATAATGTATGGAGCAAACTTTTTCTTTCATCCTTAAATCCTAGTCGTCACATATCTCTCTCTCTCTCATATATATATATATATATATATATATATATATATATATATATATATATATATATATATATATATATATATATATATATATATATATATATATATATATATATATATATATATATATCATACACTGTATTTTATTGACTTTTTCGACAGTCATCTCAATTTGTTAAAGTTTGATGAGTCCGGATCCACTCCATTTGCACACTGCTGCAATAATTATTTCTTTTTATTTTTGTACCTTCTTCATCTTCCTCCTTCCACCATTATCATCACAAGTCCATGTTTTTCCTTTAAAATTTGCAACAAAATATTATCAGATCGCATATCTATAAGGTCAGAATAGTATTGTGCACCGGTTTTGTGAGACTTATATCTAAAATAATGAAACTCAAATCCGTCGACATCGTGATGGTGAGGAGTGATGGATAATCAAAATAAAAATCAAAGAAGTAAAGAGTGATACAAAATGAAATATGTTGACGAAAAAGAGAATGAGGTTAGAGATGTAAAATGAAATTTGTAGTTGGAAAAGAGAACGATGTTGATTCTGACTTTGTGACGGGAAAGGTAGCGTTAGGGTTCTGATTGAGAGAGATTGAATGTTCAATGTTGTTATCTGTGGAATGAATGAAAGTTTTTATCTTTTCTCTTTGTGGAATTCCATGGACCTAAAGACAACAAAGTTTTTTCGCATACTTGTATAATCTTTTTTGTCAAATCGCTAAAAATTGATTAATGTGTTGTTGTTCTCTTCAGTGCAACCTTTTTTGTTTTGTAAAAATTGAAATGTTTTTCTTTAGATTGTGTGTTTGAATTTAATGAGAAGTTTTATGTGTTTGGATCAGTATTCAACGGTTGTTATTGTGTGCTTCTGGCATGTAGATTATGATGGTATTGTAGTTGTGCTTCAATTTCGTATCTTAACAGTTTGCCCATTTTCTCCAATGAGGACAAATTGCATTAGGATATATCCTTGATTTTTTTTGTTTATTTTTAAAAATGTGTGCAATTTGTAAAAGGTAAAAAATAAGATTGTCAATGGCAAACCGAAGACTGCAATTCCTGTCAAGCAAGTTGTGAATGTTGCGGAGATGGTAGAGATTGTAAGGGAATCGAGTGAAGATGATGAGTTGGATAAGGAATTTCATGAAAATGGTGAGAGTTCAAAATCGAAGCTAGGGTTTTGCCCAAACCCTGAGAAGGGGGAACTTGGTACTGAGGAGGATAATCAAGGCGGGAATGGAGTTAAGAAGGATAATCAAGGGGATGTTAAGCTTTGGGTGGATGTAATTAGAGGAAATCATAAAACAGTGAATGACAAAGCTTTTAAGTTTGTAGCTCCAAAGATTGTCAATGGCAAACCGGTTATAGAGATTGCAGAGGAGGATGTTGTTAGTGAAATTTGATTCTGGGAGACTTCTCTGATAATGTATGTGATTGGAGGAGACCTGAGTATGAATGTGTTGAAGAATTATATGAGTAGGGAGTGGAATTTTGTGCAACTTTCAAAAAAAATTATAACAATGAAGGTTATTTCATCTTGAAGTTCAAGACTATGAAGGATTGTGAGTCAGTGATGCTGAAAGGGCAATACTCCATTCGAAATATGCATATGGTGATTTTGGAGTGGCATCTTGATTTCTCAATGGAGAGAGATATGTTGCGTCCAGTTCCCGTCTGGGTAAAATTTCCTAAACTTCATATTCAGATATGGGTGAAAGCAGCTTGGGGGATATTGGGAGTGTCATAGGTAATCCTTTGTTCACAGATGAATGTACAGCTGAAAAGCTTAGAGTTTCCTATGCGTGTATTCTTATGGAAGTGGATGTAGCAATTAATTTTGCTTAATACAAGGTTTGAAAGAGATATTTTAATCAAGTTTATTCTGATTGGGCTAATCATTTGTTTCCCTCTTTCTTTACAAAAGTTTAAGAAGAGGAATAGACATATTTATATCTCCCTCTTCTCAGTTTGCTGCATCACTCTCCATTCCCTCAAAAGAAAATTTCACACCCGCTGTCACTTGTATTCTCAATCTCTCAAGATGTCTCAACAATTTGTGTCATCATCTTCATCAAAGGCAACTGCATCTTCCTCACCCACTGACACCGAACCTAGGGCAAACGTAAACCCCATGGATGCTGATGTTCTTGAGGTAACTCCACTTCGTGCAATGGCAGCTGATCCTACTAAGGTCAAGAAGCTGCGAACCAGACATGCAAGAAGATCACAAGCTTCTCCCTCTGGTAAATCTTCTCAACCATCATCCTTTGTTCCTCCAGAGATAGCTAATAGGGAAGGTTCTGCTTATGTACATCAAGTTATTGCTAGACTAGTCACTGGGATTCTTAATGAGAATCACTTTGTTCCTGGTGTATTTGTACCATTGAACCAAGAAACTGCTAGCCCTAATTTAGAAAGTGATCCCAATGTCACTCAGAATGTTGAGACACCTGATGACAACATTGAGAAATCTCCAGAGAAACTTGATGATCACCAGACCCCTACTGACAAGGCTGTTGAACCTCCTGTCATTGATGTTGATGAAGAATTTTCTGACAATGATTTAATTGCTAATGTCAACCCTAGCATAGCAAGAAGGATGATGAGTAGAAAAGAAAAGCAGAGTGCTGCCCAAAGCCCCTCCAAAGAGAAGGCTACAGAAGTTGTTCATGAGAAAGCTAGGCCTGAGAACAAGGCTAGAGAAGAAGTTGAGAAGGATCAAAAGGCTGGAACTTCCAAAGGGAAGGGTAAGGTAAAAGCTAGGGTATCTGTTGGTAGTCTCTCAAAACCCTTTAGACAACCTATAGCCAAGAAAAGAAAGGCTCCTGAACCCTCTGAACCTGATGAGGAATCAGACTTTGATTTTGATGTTGAGAGCAATGTTCCAGACATTCCTCTCAGGAAGAAACCCTTTTCTAGCAAACTGCCTAAGGTTCCTGAGGTTGCCATTGACAACATCTCCTTTCACCATCCAGAAAATGCAAGCAGGTGGAAGTATGTGTTTCTGAAAAGGATTGCCTTAGAGAGGGAGCTGAACATAAGTGTTATTGAGTGTAAGGAAGTCATGGATCTCATCAAGGCTGCTGGCCTGATGAAAACAATGGTCAAGTTTTCCAACTGCTATGAGATTCTTGTCAAAGAATTCATAGTAAATTTGTCTGGTGGATGTGCTGATGGAAAGTCAGCTGATTTTAAGAGTGTTTATGTGAGAGGAAGGAAGAGAGCTTGATGCAAGAAAAAGGACTCTTAAAGAGCTGATTACTAGTCTGGAATAGGAGGAGAATGAAGAACAAATGAGGGAAGAGGATGCTGATGAAGAACAGCATGATGGTTCTGCAAGAAGCTCACCAGAAGATGCTGGTGAAAATAGTGCTTCCTCAGGGGATGACAGTACCTGAAGGTCTGTGTTTGCTGAGTTGTAAAGATTGATGCTGGAACTTGTTGCTGCTATTTGATACCTTCTCTCTGTTTCTGTGTATTTTGGATTTC